TTTCATTCCAGACTTGGTACATCTCAATATTTCCATCAACACAAGATGTGGTATAAAAATGGTAGAGATCTGACCATTTATTTTGCTCCTTACCCCACATAGAATTCAAGATTTTGAAAAACAAAACGTGCAAAGGAGGCGATATAAGCATCCAACTCTCTTCAAATATCACACAAACAAACATTTTTGGTAATACAATATTTTTTGTGCAAATGATATATATCTGTGAACCCAATACTTTTATCTGTTATAACTTGCGAAACAAGTCAGCGATTCTTTACAACTTGATATATCTAAATATACCTCTCTTTACCAGAAACCTGAGATGAATATAGAATTTATGATTTTCCACAAATTGGATATAAATGTAATATTGCCCATAGCAGTATTTTTATCTGTATTAGATGAAGTATGAAAATGGAATACTTCGGTCGACTATATCTGGTACCTCAGGCACATTTTAACATTTTTTAAAAATTATCATATATGTCACGTAAAGTAAAGGAAGTTACCAAATCTGGCACGTCGCAATATTTATATCATATTTGCTCATTCATTTGGAACCAACTCCATAATGGGTTAAACATTTGAATAATCATAACAGAAGTCAAAATATTTCAAATTTAAGTTTACTAAAATTGAGCTCGAGGTCTTTGTTGTTTTTTTTTTAATAATATTTATTTATTATTTTCGATATTTCGTCCTCCGACGGAAGACATCATCAGGAACAATCTTTAAACATATAACAAAAATATAAAATCTTAGCTGAGGGTATACATTTGATACTTTTTAACTTGTTTAGTTGTATCTTAGCCTTAACTACGTACTCTGGACATTAAAGATCTAACAGACATCACATAATCCATTACAATCCGTGGGGGATTATATTATTGATCAATATAAAAATCTAAGGCAATTTAGCCCTGTCCGTCCGTCCGTCTGTTGCAATCACGCTAGAGTCAAAACGAATTAGGATAGGAAGCTAAAATTTTGTACAGATCTGTTTTTTGTCTGCAGGCATGACAAGTTCGAAGATGGGATATACGGTCCACGATATCGTATAGCCCCCATATAACGATAAACCCGATATTCGGTATCTTGATGATTTTTGCCATAATTTTCAAAGGAATTGTAGCAAATTTTGCATAAGCTGTTCCTTCTGAGTAATTTACCACTGAGAAGTCTATGTAGGTACATGATATCATATATCCCCCATAAAACTTTACCTCCCGATATTCGGTATTTTGATGATTGTAGCCAAATTATTCAATGGAATTGACTGAAAATCCACATAAGGAGTTTCTTTTGAGTACTTACCCCTAGGAAGATAATTGTCTATATATGTCCACAATATCGTATAACCCCAAACATCGTTTTAAACACTCATTTCATCTCGCATATGTAGTTGTATCTCAGGCAAGGCTTTTTTAGCCTCTGTTTACCTATAAAATATCGATATATAAAGTTTAAAATTTCATTTCAAACTCGCAACTCCGCAGAGACATTGCCTTCCCAATTTTATGGCAACCTATTTCAGTACCGTTTTCCGTTTCCTAAAATAAAATAATAAAATTTTAGAATTAACATTTTATTTTATAAATTGCTATATCCAAATAAAAAATAAAAAAGAAGCCAAACATCTTTGCAATATTTTATTTCATCTCTTTGGACTCATCTCCTGCTAAATTTGATTAAAGAAAAGCCAAACAAATGTTTGGACATCAATATGTCTTGATGGCATTACAACTACAAATTGGATGGACAATGTAAATGTCTCCACCCACCCATATCGATTAGATTGCCAAGATATGTAAAAGTGTCCTGAAATTTTAATTTTTCAAATGTGTGTGCGTGTGTAACAGATTGGACATGTTCTACAACTGGTAGTGAAATCAATGAATGACAGACATTTAACACAAGTTGGACACAAGCTTTAACACAGCAACAACAACAAACGAACCAACAAATATTTTACATAACTAAAATAAAGAAAAACTACCACTTCACCTTTTCCTTTGAAATTAATAGCAAAATTTGGAAGAGTTGATGTTGGAAATTGGTTCTTGAGTCTCTCAATAGTTGATTAGCCTTCAATACAAATCTCTTTATCCCAAAATAGGAAATAAAAATATTATTTCAAAGTTGTCATTTAATTAAGTTTTAACAAAATTTACCCACAAACACACTGATATTTACCTGGCCAGATAATAGGTTGACGTTCTTTGTCGCTGGATTGTCCTCTGTTCGATTTGTGCTATAAAAATGATTTTGACACAAAACCTGAAAAGGGAGGTCTATTTGATTATTGAATGTGTATGGCTTTGTTTTGTTTGAGCTTTCCCAAAATATACGTCACATTATATATGAGTTGTTTAAAAATACAAATTAAATAAAGATAATTGGAAGAGGTAAACAACATGTCTCGTATTTTCTTGACAGAAATGTTGCTTGCAGAAATTTATGAGTGCAAAGTCACATTACAGTTTTCAGAAGAGTTTTTGTGGATAGAAGAGTCTTCTGCAGCCATTTCTTCTGCAGCCATTCTGTGTCCACAGAAGAGAGGCCATCTTCTGCAGACACAGAAGAGAGGTCCTATTCTGTAGACACAGATGAGAGGTCTTCTTCTGTAGACACAGATGGGAGGTCCCTCCAGAAGAGAAATCCTCTCCTGTAGACACAGAAGAGAGATCCTCTCCAGTAGACACAGAAGAAAGATCCTCTTCTGTACATAGAAGAGAGGATCTTTCCTGTACACAGAAGTGAGGTCGTCTTCTGTGGACACAGAAAAGAAGTCCTCCTCTATACACAGAAAAGAGGTTCTCCTCTGTTCACAGAACATAGGTCCTCTTCTTTTCACCGAAGAGAGGTTAATACCTTTGTAAATTACAAACCAAGAAGACCGCAGAAGAAGAATACCTTTCTTCAGAAGACCTCTCTTCTTCTGGAGGAGAGCTCTCCTCTTCTGTGTACAGCAGAAGACCTCCCTTCTTCTGGAGGAGAGCTCTCCTCTTCTGTGTACAGCAGAAGAGCTCGCTTCTTCTGTGTACAGCAGAAGAGCTCGCTTCTTCTGTGTACAGCAGAAGAGCTCGCTTCTTCTGTGTACAGCAGAAGAGCTCGCTTCTTCTGTGTACAGCAGAAGAGCTCGCTTCTTCTGTGTACAGCAGAAGAGCTCGCTTCTTCTGTGTACAGCAGAAGACCTCTCTTCTTCTGTGTACAGCGGAAGACCTCTCTTCTTCTGTGTACAGCAGAAGACCTCTCTTCTTCTGTGTACAGCAGAAGAGCTCGCTTCTTCTGTGTACAGCAGAAGAGCTCGCTTCTTCTGTGTACAGCAGAAGACCTCTCTTCTTCTGTGTACAGCAGAAGAGCTCGCTTCTTCTGTGTACAGCAGAAGAGCTCGCTTCTTCTGTGTACAGCAGAAGACCTCTCTTCTTCTGTGTACAGCAGAAGAGCTCGCTTCTCCTGGGTACAGCAGAAGAGCTCGCTTCTTCTGTGTACAGCAGAAGACCTCTCTTCTTCTGTGTACAGCAGAAGACCTCTCTTCTTCTGTGTACAGCAGAAGACCTCTCATCTTCTGTGTACAGCAGAAGACCTCTCTTCTTCTGTGTACAGCAGAAGACCTCTCTTCTTCTGTGTACAGCAGAAGACCTCTCTTCTTCTGTGTACAGCAGAAGACCTCTCTTCTTCTGTGTACAGCAGAAGACCTCTCTTCTTCTGTGTACAGCAGAAGACCTCTCTTCTTCTGTGTACAGCAGAAGAGCTCGCTTCTTCTGTGTACAGTAGAATACCTCTCTTATGTGTACAGATGAAGACCTTTCTACAAAATCTCACTACGTTCCCCTGTACTCAAAATCATATCCCCTCCCATGTATACATGTATGTGTATGAGACAAAGACATCTTAACTTGCTTCTGCAACATTTTTATTGGACAAATTCGACCAGGGGCCAATTAAAATTTCAGACCAATGAAAATCTTGAAATATCTTCCATCTCAGTTTGTCATTTTGCGCATATTTGGAGTAATTTGTTTGGAATGAATGGCTGGGCAATTACCACTGCTCTTCCCCCACCCGCCATCACTTGTTTCCCCATCCCCATGTCATTCGCATATAACTTGATTTAATAAACGATTTTTTAATTACAACTTTGAGTATTTGTTTACGTCTGGTTTTTTGGTCTCAGTATTTTTATTGCAATGTTGCTGGGAGTAATTTAAATGGAATTAGATATCAACATTTATTCATTACTGTCATTACGAGACAGTCGTCAGCGCCAATAATTGCCATATAATGAGGTTATAAAAAATGTCTAACAACAAACAGCAGCGGTGAGATTAGACAACAGAGAGTGATGGATGCCAAGTCATTTTTTTATTGTTTCAATTATCAGAAAAAATAATATACTGTTATTTTAGTCTTCATTGATTTAGATGTTGTTTGTTTGTTTCTCATTTTTGAGTTAGATTTCAAGTTAAAAGACTTGGTAATTCTTGATAAGCTGGATGATGTGGAAATTAGAGACCCATCAAATTTCTGATATTTTGGATTTTTATTGCCCTTTTAAATAAATAAATAAATACTTTCCCTAAAATTAACTTAATTTCCATGCACTGAAGGTGTGACTTTCTCACTCACCATCTATGTGTTTGCCGAATGTCCCATCTCCATTGTTACAAGTTTAATTTCCCTTCAGGAAGAGTTACTTATATCCGTTGAAAATATTACATACTCTCAATATATGTACCTTTTCCAAAGCGTTCCCTTCTTTATGAATTAGTTATAAATGAAATGACCAGAAGACATGTCCATCAATTGATTCGCTTTTCGATATTTTGCTTTGTCCCTTGTTGTTCTCAATTTTTAGAAACTTTATAAGCCACATACTGTTCTTGTTGTTTTCTGTAACGTTTCTGTTTTTTTTTTTTTGCTCATAATACTTTGACTTTATTTCAAGACCCTTTCATTAATTTATTTTTTATCTCTTTATTTTAATCTATTTTCAGTATTAACAGGAGGTGGCATTTGAATATTTGTTGGTAGTTTTAGATTGTCAAATAAGCTGAGCAAAAAACAAAACATTTTGTGCTGCCAAACTAAAACCATAAGTTAATATTGGATACTTGCTAAGAGAGTTCGGTGTTCATTGATGAATTGCATAGAGGTTTGAAGAAGTTAACAATCATTTACTGAAATCGTAATAGAAAAGGTAAAATATGGAGTTTTTTTATTAATCTAAACACTTATTCATATGCTGTGGACTTTTAGAAAAGCTTTTCTTATTATACCCTCCATCTTTTAAAAAACGTGAACCTACATAGGAAATTTTTTGTCATAGGTTCCAATACCCATTAGGAACTTTAAATACAAAATTTTTTACAATTCCGGTGAATAATGTCGCAAAAATCATGAAAATACCGAGTGTCGGGAGTTATCGTCATATGGAGGCTATACGAAGACGTGCATACGAATTTTTTTGCCATAGGTTGTAGTACTCATTAAAATCTTCCAATACGAAATTTGAAACGATTCCGGTAAAAAATGTTACTGAAATCATCTAAATACGACTATCGGGAGGTACCGTTATATAGGGGCTATACGAAGACGTGGACCTGCATACAAACATTTTTGTCATAGACTGTACGAACTTCCAATACGAAATTTGGAATATTTTCGCTATAAACATGAAAATACCGAATATGAGGAGGTAACGTTATATGGGGGCTATACGAAAACGTGGACCGACATGGCCCATTTACAAACATAACCTGCCAACTGCTAAATGTTAGACTTCTATCTCAATGCATTCGAAAGATAGCGTGATTACAACAGACAGACGTACAAACAACCTTGCTTCCCAAAATACTTCAGACACCAACGGATTGGTATCCGGAGATTTTGGTGGCCATTGTGCGCTGGAAATGAAGCAAGGAACCTCATTTTGTAACCCTTCTTGGGTGGCACGTGCTTAGTGCGATGGTGCCGAGTCCTGTTGGAATGTCCAAGGTCTGTGGCCAAAATGTTTGCGTGCGTAAGGCTTTAATACACCCTCCAGAATATTTTCGCAATAATATTCGGCATTTATTCTGATGCCACTGTCGATTAATACGAGCGGAGAGCAACCATCGGCTGTTATGGCGGCCCACACCATCACCATGGCCGGCGCTTAAGTTCTAGTGGCCAACCGAAGGTGCACATTTTCAGCTGACCTCTTTGGCAAGTAAACACGATCATTTTGTTTGCTTACAAATTGCTGGACAACAAATGTTTTCCCATCGGAGAAAACCAAATTCGGCAGTTCACCACTTTCGGCCAAGCGAAACAACTTTTTAGCTCTTTTGAGTCTATTTTCTTTTTTTTTCTACTTGTACTTTTTGGAATTTCAATGGCTTTACCCTGAGCTCATTTTTCAATATTTGCCGAATGGAATATTGAGATATGTTCAGCTCACGATCCATTTTTCGGCAACTGCGACGCGGGTTTCGATCAAGTCGCTTCTTTACTTTTCGAACCATTTCTGCAGATGTTGCTGTTTTCTTTCGTCCACTTGCTTGACGTCGGGATACGTTACCAGTAACGAGCGATGGAACGAGACACAAAGATAGCCACTTGTGGTTTTCCAGCCAAATATAAAGAAATCACGCTTGAATTCCATCAGGAATAACTTGGTTTCTGGAAAATTCTCTCCGAAACGCTTTTGTACGCTTGTAAACAATATGATGAGCTGTCACTGGAATAATTTTAACAGCTGTCGGACGAGTGGCTTAGAAATGACAGCAGTCTGAAGTTGGCTGCAGTGTTTTCATCTCACCCTGTATATTCATTGATCAGCTGTCTGTCCGTCTTTGGAAATCACTCCAGTTTCCGAACGAAATGAAGTAGGTGATAAATTTTTACTCTAATGTAAATTATGTCTGCAGTGCTTTTGGTATTGAAAATGCGCCATGTAGGTTCACGTTTTGATATAGCCCACATAAAATGGTACCTCCCTATTTTCGGTATTTTGATGATTTTAGAGACATTATTCACCGAAAATGTTTATAATTTGGTATTGGAAGTCCGTAATGGACATTACGGCCTATGACAGAAAATTGTCTGTGCAGGTCCACGTTTTGATATAGCCACCATATAATGGTACCTCCCTATATCCGGTATTTTGATGATTTTAGAGACATTATTCACCGAAATTGTTTCAAATTTGGCATTTGAAGTCCGTAATGGACACTACGGCCTATGACAGAAAATTGTCTATATCCGGATGATTGATTTTAGCGACATTACGCACCGATTTTTTTTCAAGTTTCGAATTTGAATGTTTTAATGGCTTATGACAAATATTGTCAATGCAGGTCAACTTCGTCGTATAGATGCTTATATAATGGCTACAGTCGGTATTTTTAAGATTTTAATAGAATTTTTTTACGGATTTTCTTTTTTTAGAAAATTGCCAAATTCGTTCCAAATGGTGGAGGGTATTTAAAGTTCGGCACCGCAGAACTTACAGCTTCTTCACTTATTTTACTTGTTTTTATATATGGCTGCTATACCAAAACTCATTTTCAATACATTCTAGACACAATACAAATTTATGGGGTCTACGACGTACATTTAGGGATTTTACAAACGGAATGACAAAGTTAAGTTCAAGGTGGAGTGTATAACAATATTTTTCAAATTGTCCCCCATATAACGGCACTAAACTGTGTGTGTGATAAAGAATATGTTCTCTAGATGGGTCTTCAGACATATTTTGCTGTTGCGAAAAATCTTTTCTCTCTCTCTTCTTGAATTGGAAAATTCCGGAAGTTTTACAAGCATACAAACGTATGTAGCTTGCTTTACTTCCAAATTAAATTATTTTCTTCCTCCAGTCCAGGTACCATAATCATATTCTAGCTTAGTACTGCCTTTCTTGCCAACCAATTATGCTACAATGTGAAATCAATTCCAGATATTTGCTTTTTTTCTCGCCACCCTTCAATTAAAATCTTCGCAAAAGCAACAACCAACTCTGGTCCCTGGACAAACATTGGATTTCGTATTCCGCCCTGCTATTCAAGCTCTACAATAATTCTCTAATAACGGTTATTTGTGCAATGCTGTGGCGTTGCTGGTAATGATGAAACTGCAATGACTGGCTGGCTGGCTGTGCGTTTGCGCAACTTTGGTAAATCTGCCAGCTAAACTTATTTAGTTGCTATTGTTTTCTCAACAACGAAGCCTAGATATGATACGATTTTTGTTACAAAGGGACGCGCTGTGAAGGAAAACAAAACTAAATCCAAACGTTTAAAGAAAATCAGTTTTTTAGGACGTTTTTTTCAATTTTTCCTTGGGCAAGCATTTAGGCCCAGAGTTAAATAATGCGGCATAATTTATACGCCTGTATTAGAGAGGTATATCCGAAAAAGGGGGAATACTTCATTGAATGTGAAGGGAGGTTGAACCCAAATCCAAGAAAAAAATCATCGACTTCAATTGAAAATCCCTCTCGAAAGGTTTTAAACGTTTTTCTTTCAGTTCATGGCGTAGCAAAGTCTCTTCGATTTTAGTTGTAACCTTTTTTTTCGAAACGAAATCAAACCAATTGAATGTGGTCCCAAAGTGTGTTAGGATATCCTATGCAATGTTGCTTCAGAGAAAGCCCATCTACCTCCTAGGCTATTGCAATTATTATTGTTGTGGTGGCGGCGTATCTCAAAATTTTCCTAGCTACAGTTGATTTTATTTTGTTGTTGTTGTTGTTGTTCTTGCTTTGTGCTTTTATTGGACGTAATACCAACACGTACAAAGCTTTAGCCAAGAGGTACGCCTCTATCTCTAGTGTGCGATCTAGTTTAACGGCATGGCTTTGAACGGCTAGGATGACTGACGAAGACCAAGTCTACGTCTACGTCCATGTCCACGTCCACAATTCCAGCTATGTTGTGGTGGAAAAGCTAAGCTTACAATTGTTTTCGGAGGGATTTATTTTAAGCCAACATAGAAAAAGAAACAGAATTCGGCGTAAAGACGAAGATATTATTGTTTACAGAATGGAAGGTGGTTCGAAAATGCTGGTGTTGCAAAATAATATTTCAATCCTTAAAATGAACAAATGAAAAAGATAAAACTAAAATTTCTGGAAAATTATACTGCAAAGATTGTTTGTCCTTTTAAATTGGTCTTTTTGGCGTATTATAACAGTTTTCTTAAACTGGTATGTAGCCTTTTCTAATTCTTATGCATACAAAATGTTTCTAACTCCGAACATAGTCTTATGACGTATTATAAAAGTTAGTATAATAGTTTTCTCAAACTGTTATATAGTCGTTTCTAACTTTTAGACATACAAAAAATATTTCAGCTTATTTACACTGTAGACATTTCTATGAAAGTTGTTTAAAAACTGGTATATGCCCAAACAATGTTCAAAGTCGTCACAGATGGTAAAATATCGAGACACGATGACGGACTAACCATTGCCAGGAAGACTGGAGAGAGACTGTAAGATACAGGATACTGGGCCTTCCAACGCCACTCCTTCAGACGACTTAGTGGAGACCGCTCTAACTGGAGGCTCAGATCTAGAGTAGGCCAACGCCTACATACCAAGATCAAGCAGTCCTGGAATTAACCTCCTTTACTCATGTCCCCTCTATTATCAACGCCGACAGATCAATATAAACACGCTTATAACCTAGTAAGCACATACTAGATTGTTCTCATTATCCAGAAAATTGTGAAGTGGACATTTGCAAAACGTCCTCAGCTGTATAACAGTTTTCTCAAACTGTTCTGCACTCGAAAAATAATCTTCTTAATAATTATAATGTTAGTGTTTGTATAACAATTTTCTAAACCATTTATTCATTGGTTTAAGCAAACGTAAATAAATATGACACGTATAACTGTATGTATAACAGTTTAATTTGATTTTTATAGTCCTTTAATATTAAGAGAAATAAACTCGTTTCTTCAAACAAACATAAAAATTAATTACTATGACAATTTGTATAACAGTTTTTATAACTGTTATACAAATTGTCATACATTTGTTTTCGAAGTCTTTGCCATAATTACGATACTTAAAGCATTTGAGTGTTTAAAAATTCAGCCAAATAAGGAAAGATTTTGAAATTTCTTTCTACAGGGTGAGATGAAAAAACTGCAACCAACTTCAGACTGCTGTCGTTCCTGCGCCACTCGTCCGACAGCTGTTAATTTTTT